CTAAGAAAACTAAATAAACACCATTAATAATTTCAAACCATATGTTCACTAACATGACAGATCTGTTGTCATTTAGATCTTGCCTTGTTATTCTAACACATTTGACGTTATTTTATTTTGCTACAATTTAGTAATACTAATTTTATTTATAGATTCCCAAGATATGTTTATGAGAAATTCATATTCTACTTTGTACTTATACCGAGAATAGTACATTTTTAAATTGTTTGGATTGGTTTGGTGCTTTTGTTGTTGCTTGACTTATGACAATCTTGATGAAATTTTTAATTCTAGAGAGCCTTGGTGAGATGGTGTCTCTCCAGGTCTAGCAACTGTTGATGATTATTATAGACCGATGGAGATTCTATTTGCAACTTATGATTTTGGCCTTTCGCTGATGAAGTTTAGATGGAACTCTGTTTGATAGATCGTTGCCGTCCTGTGTGATTGGGTGACCTTATTTCATTTTTTGGGATGTCAGAAATAGTGACCTCTTTAAAGAATAGCTTTTATTTTCCCAGAAATTCTTTTAACTTAGGGCCTGTTTGATAGACCCTTTTTTTCTATGGAAAATGGAATTAAAATCCATTTCACACTTTTGCTATTTTTGACGACACTTTTTCTCGAAGAATAGATTTTCCACCTTCGCCACCTGTTCTTGGTTTTAGTTGAATTTCAATTCCCACATTTCCATCTTTTTTTTTTTGCAATAGATACAAATTCTATCCCCAATTGTTAAAAAAAAAAAAAATTATCCCTTTAATTGACAATTTTCATGTAAAACGAAGTCAAATGAACACCAAAAGATAGAAAATTTCAACATTTTTCAGGTGGAAAATTATACAAATCAAACACAATCAATTGACAATTCCCAATAAAATAAATTTTAGGCAATTCAATTCTCTACAATTTGTTTTCTTTCCACCCAAATTCCATCTTTGAATCAAACGGACCCTAATATTTTATGATATAGGAAAAACTGGCTAAAGTTAGTAATGTTGTATTTCAAGCATGAAAAATGACAAAATGTGTATACAACCATTGCCACCCTTGCAATTGATGAGGAAGTGCAACTTATTGAACGCTTAGTTCGTGTTTTACGGATTATTGATAGTGATGAAAAGCTTTCAATAGACTATTTGTATGAAGCTATTCACATGGCAAAAAAAAGAAAAAAAAGAAATGGAACATAGATTTCAAAGAAGGAAGACTAGAATTGCTCTAGACTATTTGTATGAAGCTATTCACATGGCAAAAAAAAGAAAAAAAAGAAATGGAACATAGATTTCAAAGAAGGAAGACTATAATTGCTCCTTATCTGCAAATTATTCAGAGTTGATGGAATAGTTAGCTGTGTAAGAATCTTCATATTGCTGGATATTGTTAAACCTTTCTTTTCAATATTATAATTCTGATATGGAAAATAAACAACCTATTTCGGAACTTTAAAATGTAATTGAGAGATATGCTTATGGTCAACCTGATTTAAGAAGCAAATTGACTAGTGAAATGAGACTATTTAGGCAATAACATGGTGACTTTGGACATTTATATGCTGTAGTTGATCGTCATAGAATGACTCATGGTAAAATAAATATTATATTATGTACTTTGTTGTATTATTTAGTGCAAATTTCAATTTATATAACATACATATATTTTAATTTGTTATTATTTTTTACAAATGAATGGTGAATGTGTTATGGTAGTAGTGCACCAAACCTACAAACATTTGCAATTCGAGTATTAAGTCAAACATTTCTTCAGATTGCGAGAAAAATTGGAGTATGTTTGAGCATATCCTTTTAAAAAGCGAAATAGACTCGAACACCAAAGACTTCATGATCTTATTTATGTTCACTAGAATTTAAAATTGCAACAACGGTAATGTTATTTAAATAAAGTTTTCATCATTTTATGATTTATTTGATTTTGAGATTTGATTTTCTTTTACTAGAATTATATTTGATTATTTATAAAGTGGATAACCATTGTCTAGGAATTATTTCAAGAGTCGAAATTATGATCCTATCGATTTTGAAAGATTTGGCATTTATGACAATTGGGTATTAGAGGATGAGCCATCGAATCTAGTAGATGATGAGTTGGACACATTTCGTCGTGATTTAGGTGCATGTACTATGCAAAACGATAAAAAAGATGGTAATTGTTTGACTGATACTATTGTTTCTTCTTTTTAATAAAATATATATGATGCAATGTTGAATTTTAAACTTTTTCCAGATGAATTGCATTTTGATGATCTTGATGGTGATGTCAATGATGGTAATGACAATAAAAATAGAAGTAATATAAACAATAAAAACGAGGATCTTAGTATGACTGAGACTCTTTCATTGGTACTAAGCGAAAAAAAAAATGAAGAATTTATGTCCCCAGTATAAATGCACTTTAACTCTTCTTATTTGATAAAGTGTTCATTTGTTTTAAATAATTTACTTTGTAACATATGCTTTATGCATGAACTTTTTTAAATGTTGATTTTATTTTTGCAAGCATATTCTTATAGTATATGAAGTTATCTTGTTGATTTTTGGCACATAGAGTAGTTTTTGATCAGTTGTTGTTTATTGTTTCAAATCCATATTTCATTATATATAATCTAGAATTTGTTGAATTTTGGTATACATCTTTAGTCATCTAAATTATATAAGGTTAATTTAGTTATCAGTAGAAAATATCAAAATTTTATTATGTAGTAAAATAGTTAATAATATATTTAACGGGAATTGACCTTCTGGTCGAACCATTGACATTGTCCGAGTGTCCGAGCCAGTTTTGACAATTATGATTGAAATGATTTAGAAAAAAATAATAACAATTTTAGAAAATTTGGTCAAACTAATTATTATAGTGATAGTTCTTACCGTAAACTCTTTTTAAGTGGAGTTTCGTCTCATAAATTGATTGCTCGATACACTTGGTCAAACGTCTTGATTTGAGGATTTTTTACATGTCGGGTTAAATCTTTTATATTCTTGTAGGTAACTTGATAGAGAATGGGCCCACGCATTATGAATGGATTCACCTAATTTTCATTTTTTTAAAGACTTATCTCGCTATTGATATATCACTAGTCGGATTCTTCTTTTGTGCGTATTAGTTCTTCTAAGCCTTTCAATGCCAACCTCTATTATCCAATTCGTTTTTAGCTATGTTTATTGGCAAATGTATAATACATTAATCATTTGCTTCTTACATTCCTTGAATAGTCGGGACATTGAAAAATATCCAGAAAGGCATTAAACTTTAATTTCTTCAACTATTGTCTATACATGTCAAATGTTACTCATCATTTTGCTGATCTACATATTAGTAGAGGTGTTAAGTGGAGGCGAGCTCTTCGTCGACTTGATTAACCCCATAAATGATGGTTGTGAACAAAACTGAGCGACTTGCACAAGTTGGCTCACATTATTAGCTCGCGAGCCATTGTTACCTTGCTATATTTTTACCGCATTCAACAATTGCTACATTTCAAGCAACCGTTCAACCGCTGTGTGAAAATTCAAATTTGAATATTAAACTATTTTTCTTGCATGGAATTTTTGTCTATAAAAAAGTATCTCTTCAGTTTTTCACAACTTTTGTACTCATTTTCTAAATCTTTCATTAGCATCTGCTGTAATCATTCTTCTTAAGTGTTGGATTAAATTCTTTTTTCGATTTCATAATTTGTTACCTATTATACCATCTTTCTCTAAAACAGCTTTTCACTATCTAGTTTCTACTTCTATATTTTTTACTGCATTATTAAACCATGCAATTTACACAATGGCTTGCTCATTATTATTTTTATCAAATGAAAATAATTTATTCAATTTCTTGCCAAACTTTCGAGATCCAACGAATAGGCCATTTGTATTATGAAGACCAGTAAGATGAAATAAAATTTAGGTTATTCTTCATAAACTACAAATATAGTGTTTCTTTGGCCTTTGATATTATACGTTCCGTTGGCGATAATAAGTACCTATATTTAGTATTATTATATCTTGATGATGAAGAGGTTGTTAAATTTCTCTTTTCGTTTTGGTAGAGCATTTAAATATAACTGTTGTATTAAACCCTTACTGGTAATTTTACATTCTAGTGCTCATACATTTATTTAGATAAATTGAAGAGTGCAGAGTTGAAAATATGGAGGCGTAAATGCCACCTTCGCTGTTTTGACTCGTGTTGAGTGATATATATGCATTTTATTTTATGATATGTGATTCTTGTCTTCTATGCAATGTAAATCCTATTTTTCCAAATTAAATTTTGTTATACCCTTATTATTAAATATTTCTTTAACCTTCTTATAGTGTAGGGGTGAACATTCTTTATTATTCCAAGTATGTGTTATGGTGATATTTGAAATAGATAGATCCTCGTGATGAGAAAGAATTATGGAATTTTGTAATTCGTACTTCAGTTCGAACAACATACATTTAACATTTCAAAATGTATGAAATTCACAAGTTGGAGCACCTACATGGTCGATATGAGTAGGCTCTGACTTCTTTAATTTTCTTCAATGGTGGGTTGCGTAGCGATATCAATATCTGGTATTGTCAAAGTATAGCATGGGACATGTTCACACAACCAGCGAGTTTATCAACACCTACAAATGTAAGGTGTATTATGGAATGCATCATGTGACTTGGACAATACTAAAATCCAAATGGAAGTACATGTTTGTATACGTCCATGACTTCAAGAAGAAGTGAAATTTCGACATCTTTTCAAATATGCAATTGTAGACTACTAATGTAGTATTGTAAGTATATTTTGTTTCTTTCTTTGTTATTAAATTTTATTTGTTTCATTGTTGTACAAGAAAGTTGTACACAAAATATTAATTCGTATACAATTTTAACTCTGTGTATACATCATATAGTTAGTTTGGTTTCAAACTCGAATAAAGGTAGAGGATTTTTATAGCTTTATAATTCTTTTAACAAAATAGAATTTTCATTGCAAATTTACATCTTCAATATACGTCGAAGGATGAAAAAGTCAATTTTCAATATTTTACAAAAAATAAAATGACAAGCCACAAGTGACTCGCGAGTCGAGGTATTTGAAAACAAGCTTGATCGCACTCGGTTCATTTAAAGCTCCAATATGCTAGATGCTACTCTACAAGTGACATCAACTAACTTCTTTCTACTAATTTGACATTGAAAAATGTCAATAGATTGAAATAATGTTGAGGAACCTAACGCTAAGAAAAACAAAGTTGAAGATAAAAGTATAAATGAAGATTGTAACAACATAAAATAATCAGAAGAGGGATTATAAGAAATCACAGTACCTAAGAGGCACCCTTAGTACCCAACATTCGACAATATTGTACAAAGCCCCTGTATGAGCTACATTAAAATTTTCTTCTCATTCTTTTACTCATTTTCAACAACACATTTTTCAATAAAATAATATTTTCCATTATATCAATAATTTTTTCTTCTTTTTCAACCACACATTCTCCATCAATCTACTATTCCAAAATACATTATAAAAAAGAAAAAAAAAAAACTCGCAGTGATAATAGGGCCCTGTTTGGGAGAGATTTTGATTTTTCTACAGTAAATCAATACTCATTTTCAACCACACATTTTTCAATAAAATAATATTTTCCATTATATCAATAATTTTTTCTTCTTTTTCAACCACACATTCTCCATCAATCTACTATTCCAAAATACATTCTTCCAAAATAATGTGGCTCAAACACACTCAAAAAATAATGCACAAAAAATTGAACTTTTTTTTGCCTGTGTAGCTAACATACCAAACATCCCATAAATAAATAATATAAAAACTGTTGCTATATTCTCATCTTTTAAAAATTCCAGTGTTTTCGTCTGGAGTTGAACCAAGTTCCGTAATTTTACCGTATAGAAGTTATGCTAGCAGGGCCAATGCTCAACATAAATATGAAAGCAACAAAATGTATATAAAAACAAGAGATGTAAAACCATTGAATATTTTTATCGATTTTATTACCCAGCCAACAAACTTCAAGAATTTCATACTATCATTAGTTTGCTGTCGAAATTCTAAGAGTCAGCAAGTGCAACAAGCTGATCAATGACGCTTGGATCTGCAAGTGTGCTTGTATCCCCAAGTTCATCTAATTGCCTTGAAACTATTTTCCTCAAAATTCTTCTCATTATCTTTCCACTTCTTGTCTTTGGAAGTCTCGGTGCCCAATGGATTTTGTCAGGAGCTGCAAATGCTCCAATTTGGTATTGTCGTAAAAGTAACATAAGATATAGCTTTATCCATTTTTCAAAACTTTTCACGAGATAATTCTAAAGAAGATAATTCTTAGGAATGTCAACACACCTGGTTTCTCACAGTCAATACAAGACTTTTTCGTAGATCTTCACTGTATGGAATGCCTTCGATCAGAGTAACAAATGCATATATTCTTTGTCCTTTAACCTAAAAGCAGCATATCAAAATAAAGATTGTTAAAGCAATAAATTAGATTCTTTCTTTTTATAATTACTAGTTTTTGCCCGGTGCAATGCATGGGTTGTGTTATTTTTAAGGTAATATTAGCATCTTGAATGCTAAGATTAAATGGGAGATTGTAATACAAAATTTTCATGCACACATTTGTATAAAAGAAATAACATTTCATAGAGATATAAGGATCAATCCAAAATTTGAACAAAGATGGAGGGGGAGCAATAAATACTATATGGAAAATGCCTCCAAAAGGAAAGTCCAAATTTACAAGAGGGAAACAATGCATTTTACAACGTGGAGTACAACAATTTATTTGAAAATGAGACTTTCGCAGGGTTTCTTGTTTCCTAAAATGACAGAGAAATAAAGCAAGCGCTCCCTTCAATTGAAATAAAAACACAAAAGCAAGTTGCATTAATTAGTAAGATTTACCTTCAAAGCTAACTGCAGTACTTTCACAACAGTATTTAAGTTTGAACTTTTCTTCTCATATATAAGAATGAGAGGGTTGTCCACTTCCTGCAGCTATTAGAGAGCTTCTTACTACACCTTTAACCAACAAGGAGTCCATTTTTCAATAATAAATATATTATTGGCAGTAACAAGTAATAGTAGTAGAGAGACTTACACATTTCAAGTTTTTGTTATTTGTGAGAAGCGCGTGGAAATCTACCATCTGTCCAACTTCATTCCCTCAACTACTTCCAATTCATCGAACGTTTTTCCATCCTACAACAACATATGAAAAACTTACTTTACACATTTTACAAGAAATTTAACATAGAAATTGAGGGTTTGTTTGGTAGTGCTTTTAAGTGCTTACAAGTTGTGGATATTACGAAATGGTGTTTGTGAGTATTACGGAATGTCAAGAGGAATAGAACATGTACATTGCATTTAACAACAAATGTTAGCTTATAAGACCAGCAACATAGTGAATTAGACATTAGTAAATTTCGGCGTTTACATTTTTGTATGGAAAGAATACTATCAAAATCTACAAATAGATAATTAAATATGTCATAGGAGGTTATATTATTACACATGGAAATAGTCAAGACTCCATCAAATGCCAAGATTAAGACGTCAATAAATTGATTTGCATTGATGCACTCAATTATTTTACCTGAATATGATTTAGAGCTGAACATTCAATACAGGTTTCAATCTCACGGAATTGTTGCATTATAAAGATTTGGGACTAAATTAGTGCTTTAATTTCTGAGATTAAAATTTACCTAGGGAAGAGGCTTTTTTATAGCTTTTGGGCCGTACTTTCTCCATCTGTAGCCATCTTCTAGATGATGTACTTCGCTCTTTGTCATGAAAGCAAATCTTGGCTCTGTCTACCTCTTCTGACTCATTTTATTGGGTTTCAACCTGTTGTCATGAGCACAAAATAGTAAATAAGTAATTTCTGAGAATGAGGCTCAATAACTGAAGCTCTAACCAAATATTTCTATAATAATATTTAACAGGAATATATGAGGTGTGAGCATAAGAAGTCGAATTTATCTAGGTGAAGTATTAAAGGCGCATGAAATGCAATCCTATTGAACTTGTATACTTTAAATTTATTCAGAGCAAGCAGTAATGCATCTACACCTGAGCGGAACTACATGCCAGAAAATGGGGAGTCAAACATAATGCTCTCAATTCTCGTACATTATGCTGTATGGGCTTTATTTTCAGCCAAACATGCATACACAGAGATAGAGGTTAAGTTCAAAAGGAAGATGATGAAAAATAAATTTGATTACTGGAAATCAGTAGTTTGATCATTAAAATAAATTCAAATAGAGAATAAAGCTTATAACCAAGAGGCATATGGTATTACTTGTTCACCCACGAACACATTAATTCAAAAAGATGGCGAAAAAAGAAGGCTATAAATCACCTACTTGAAATTGTTCCAGACATTACTATGAGAATCGCAGTCATCACGCACTATCCGAATGTCAGCACCCTGAAATATACACATTAGTGAAACTGGAACAAAATCAGCTCGGCCCAATTTGATAAAACAAACATATGAGAAATAAAAGTGAAATTTTTTTACTTGATTATTGGTTATTCATTGGCGTATTTGCCATGATTTCCTCAATAATCAATTATCAAACATTCTTATTAGCAAATAGGTCCATCAATGATGCACATATGATTTTACCAAATGCACCAAAACTCTGACCAGATAATTTCAATAACTTGCCAATAATCAGTTGAAATAATTATCAACCAATAATCATAAGCAGTGCAACAGGGATGGAAAAAATGCTAATTTTTGCAAAATATCACAAACTATTGTCATCGCTCCTAAATGAGTTGCCGCAATCAGAATGCTTCAAGTCCCAACAAAAGGGTTATAGACCAATTTCCCAATTCTGAATTGTGCTTCATTTGCCATCAAGAAAGCCCGTTGGGCCCAGATATTTGTGGCTTTTTAATTGATAGGTTTGCAAGATCTTCATATCATCCGTGCCAATTTCCCGACCAAAAAAGACCCTTCTATGCACAATAGGTGGGTGGAAAGCCCATTCTCAGATCCATAATCATCATTATCCGTAAGAAAGAACTTGTGATTAGGTATTTTCAAATTGACCTTCCCCTGAAATATATAGAATCATCAGTTGGCAACAATTGACAATATTAGTATTTAAACACAAAATCAACTTAGTGTGTGTTTGGTAGGGATTTTTTGGGGGAAGAATTGATTTTGAATAGTGATATGATGGGAAATGTGTGGTTGAAAAAAAAGATAAGATTATTGATGTGATAGAAAATATTATTTTATTGAAGAATGTGTGGTTGAAAATGAGAATTGATTTACTGTTGAAAATGAGAATTGGTACCAAACATAGCCTTAATCGTAAAGGTGAAAAAAAAAATAATGAATAAAGGTGAGAACAAAACTCTCCGCGCTGCGCACAAAAACATAATATTTGAAACAACAAAATCAAAAAGTAGAGATATCTATTTCCTATCATGCAACTTGTAAAAAGGCTTTTTCAAAACAAAAATCAGAAAGAGCTAATGATGAAACCTCCCTTGAAATTTTTAAATAATACAAAGACAACCTTCCATTTTAAAGAATTACGAAAATCTCCCTTAGAATTTGTTTTCGAAACAGATTCACTCCTATAACTCATATCTAAATCTCCATTGAACTATCATTCTCTACAAACTACCTCACAGTAAAACATAGTCCCATCTAGGATTCTTGCTTTCTATATTGGAAAAAGTAACAAAAAGGTTATTTCTCTAATTTTAAAGTAAAGATGTAACATCAGTTTTCACAAAATGTTTGATACTAAAATTAACTTTGAATTCAAGATTATCAAAATATTGAATAACCAAATGCAATATTACAACCAAAGAAATAAAGAGAAGTCATCCTTTTTTCTAATAATTTCACAAATCCCCTAAGGTTTCCTAAATTGATAAAAAAATATCAAGCATTTACATAAAACAAACACAAACATACAGCATAAATCAAAACCCTAGTAGAAAACAGATAATAGCAATTTGTTACATAGATAAAGTTGGTGTTTTCTTATCTGGCTGCTACTCCGATATTGAGTCGGCAGCGAAAGCGACTTCGCAAAGTGAAGTTAATAAAGAACAGATGGTCAGAGAAGGGAAAGAAATGAGTACTAACATTATGAAAAGAACTTTTGATTACATATCCAAGTCAATGAATCGCCCCCTAGATAAATACTAACTTAAATATATGACCAAGTCTTAACAAGCAAGTATGCGTACATGGTTAAACAAAAAGATCCAGCAGTAGATAATCTAAGCACGTGCATCTACTGGAGATGAGCAACAATGGAGGATTAGGAAAAAAATAATTAAATGTGATATACTTGTTTGTTTAAATATCAGAAGAAAACTGCTTAACAAACTTTTAAAATACTATGACTCCTATTATTAAAGAAAAAAAGCTATATAGCCCGTCTTAAAAAAATAAAAATAAAAATTACAAGTACAAAATGTTTCAAGTAAGCATAAGATCAAAACGACCACACAAATAACTACGAACCTCTATGATTCCTGGAATCCCTATCTGGTAATCAATGAGACAAAAATAATAAATTGAAAAGATATAAAAATTGTATGTTAAAAAAGAAAAGATGCAGGATACAACTTACCTTGTTGGTAATAGAAATATATTTCACTCTTGCTCCTTCAAGAATAATGGGTTTCAGATTGTTTTTAGCAGCCAATTGAAAAATAACTTTGTCAATTCGCGTCCAGTGACATCAAACTACAAAAGTAAAGCAAATACATCAAGATATGCACGAGTATAATAAATGGATGAAGTCTACTCGAACCTTATTTTATAGTATGTAAAGTCTAAAATATGTAGAGATAAGGTATATTAATGTGTTATAGTTCAATAATACTTATTACAGTTAGAAGTAAATTAAATCTTTATTCAATGAGAATAATACAGAATTTGACCAACTCTCAAATTATCTACAGTTGTAATTCCTTTTCAGCTATTCTTCTGTATCAAGCACCAAATCTTCAATCAATACAGAAAAATCATTTTCTTTTCCTATTTCATCATTCCATGTTATTTTAGTCTTCGTATTTTTTCAAGTACGCTATTAACACTGATAATATCATTTTGCACAAATGGTGAATCCATCATTCCCTCTGTTATTCTTTTTTTTTTTTGCGTGCGTGCGTGTGAAATACATTCTCTCAATTCATATTATACATGTGCATCATTTTGCACAAATGGTGAATGTAATAATTCTCTTTGTTATTTTTTTTTGTGCGTGCACGTGAAATACATTCTCTCAATTCATGTTGTGCATGTGCTATTTTACCACTTTGTGGTAATAACCAAAAGAAGGAGAGAGTGAGAGAGAGAGAGAAGATAATTATATTTTTGTTCAAACACAAAAATACAAGTACTTTCTATCATGAGGTTTCTAAATGCGTTAATTGTTGCGTGTTGTACCTTTATTAGTTCAGTTGAGTCCTACCTGCACAAAGCCAAAGAACCAATGTATCTGTGTATATGAGAGGGGTAGCTTGCTATAGGATGAGAGATATTAGTTTGGGGTTTCCTCTCAACAGTTAGAGCAGGCACAAGGATGATTGATCAAATTCATATTCATTTTAAATTGCAGGAGGTTGAAGTCCTATCTTTTGAACTTATGCACTAATAATGGTTATATTCCATAATAGCATGCTCGTAAAAAATCGGAAACATTTGAGTTTAAGAACTCAGCTGCAATTTATCAAAGGTGAGTGTTAGCTCCCAAGGACATTGGTTTTGGATTTTTCATGCAATCAAGTTAATTGTACAGCACTCATAAAACTCGTTTCCCAGCCTCAAAATATGGCAACAGCGTCAAAATCAGTGTGTACCCACTGGCTCGCAATTCTTAAGCCAAATCTTTGTGAACAATTTAAAATAATTATCAATTATTGACAAAGGCAAAGGTCAGGACAACACATATTTATAAAGGAATAGGCAAATAAAAGAACCAGCTCATTAAGGTATATTTTTGTGAAGGAGATATGCCACATATGACACATTAATGTCACTTATAATATGGTCCGAGGAAATATGGATATTTTCTTGGTCATAAATTTGTAATTCAAAAGATTGAGTTATTCCTTGTCAATGATTCCACCACAGCATATTGAGGAAGTTAAGAATACACTACCCGATAGAAGGCACAAACAGCTTGAACATTCATATCAAATAATGCAGAGTAGATGGCTTCCTTTAGCTGTCTCCCAGAACCCTTTGCAGTCTCATTATCTGAAAAATAACAATAACAAAGAGAAATAAATGTCACTACATGTAAAGTTTATAACTGATCAACCAAACTGTCAAGAGACTTGGCCGAAAGTAAAAGGACACAAAAGTTCGGTTGAGGTTTGGAATTTTTGTTTCTTATATTTTCCAAAAAAATTATTAACCAAAATCCTTGCTTATTTCTATAACTTCCATCTTTGAGACACAGATCATTGACTTATACACGAGTGAAAATAGTCAAAAAGATCATAGAAATGAGACAAAATAAATGCTTTAAATGTTTTGAAATAAAGAGCCAATAAGCGAACATGAGTTCATATCCAAAGTCGAGATAACAAAGGTAACAGAATCCAAGCACTCATTATTCAAAAAATCATTTAATTTTTGATGTTTTTGAAATCAGGTTCTCAAAATTGAACAAGATTAATCCAAAAAAAAAAAAATTTTACGTTACCTGCAAGTCAAAGATAAAATCCTCAAACCGACTGACAGCCTAATGTTGAAATTAAGTACAGAGCATATTAAGCTTGTTCTATTACAGTTTCTATTCACAGCTTTAAAGAGAGGAAAAGATGGAACTGAAAAATTCTCTCTATTTCAAAGTCGACAAAATAAAAATTGATAAGTTCCACCAAAATATAATTGTTACACATTCATTGGTTAGTGCATCTGCGTACTCATGCGTGTAATTTTCCAAAAAATACATCGTAAAAAAGGTCGCAGGAAAGTTTGATTGTTGTTAGTGTGCGTAACAAAAAACATGTGGAATAGAAAATATAGATAAAAGATATAGAAAAGGAATTAGAGAATCACCTTCTGGAGACTTCGAAAGCGGAATTTCCTGTGAGACTTTTAGTCTTGAATGCGATGCAGAGGTTGGCAGATGAAAGAGACGGTACGATATATGGAATTTAAATAAGTTTTGTGGATGGAAGAATCAGGCTGCGGTTAAGCTGTTTGGGAGAGAGTGACGGTGGTGAAGCGATGGGGGGAAGGGCAGACGAAGGTATACTGATAAAGGAAGGCTGGAATGTTCGCGCTGCGCGGAGACACTGTTGGTGGCGAAGCGATTACGGGCGTTGATCCGGAAAATTTCGGAATGGATTTGCTTCTTGATTTTACCTTCCTTCTACCTCTTTTAGGGTTTGGTTTGGTCAAGAACGAGAGAAAGTGTGGAGAGACAACAACAAATAGAAGATAGACAAGCAGCAATAATTTTGGTGGAAGAATCAGAGACGGCTCGACTCTGCTAGGGTTTGCTTTCTTTCTTCAAAGAAATGAGGGGAAAAAGTGATACAAACAAACGTGTGCAAAAAGATTTGTAAAAATAGAACCTGGACTTCATGAACAGTAAATCCCAGATCTAACTCATTACTATTTCCAAACCACTTTGGGAAATCGAGTGTGAAAAGGAGGAACCAAGAATGAACAGTACTCCCAACATCCTCTCTTTTATAGGAAGGTAGAAATGGATTTGCTTCTTGGATTTTACCTTCCTTCTACCTCTTTTAGGGTTTGGTTTGGTCAAG